CCCCAAAACCCCAAAACCCCAAAACCCCAAAACCCCATTTATTTTATCCCATATTGATTCAATAATGATTTAATTCGTAATATCCATCTTACTCTGTGATGTATCATTGCGTATGATTGACTCAAGTTGGTTCTGTTGATCCTCTGCCTCAATATCTACAATATCATAAATTTCTGCTATCTGAGTATTGATCTCGTTGACGAACTTGGCTCAAGAATCTTCACTATCATAGCTATTCTCTCTTTCATCAATAGTGTCCATTTTGTCTTGCCCTTTGTTCTTGGTCTCAATTTCATGGCCTACTTTCAAGTCTGTCAATCCTAGGTCCTTTATTTTCTTGATTTTTGGGATAAAGTCATTAGTCTTGTTACATTTCAGTGTAACCTCATTGATAGATAAGGTTTTGAGAGGACTCTTTTCATTATCATTATTCACATTTCAAAGCTCGTCGTACGGAGTCTTGACAACTACCTTGGTTCTTCTGTTCTCACTATCTTTTCGATCACCCGGCTTCCTGAATCAAGTCAAATCTTTAGTAGAATGAAACACCATGAAGGGAACTTTATGGCTCTTGGGAATCTTCCTAGCTTTAAAATTATGCCTCTTCAAAGACTCAGATTTATTATCAAATTTCTTTGCCTTGTTTGAGCTACTCAAGTTGAATGGGGATAAATTGACCTTATTTCCTAGGCCGAGAACTTCCTTTAGTGGAGAGATTATCCGTACAGGAGAGGTCCTTCTTGCTACTGATTGCCTTTATTGTCTTACTACCCTTATCGCCATTATTCATACTAGATAGGTTATCATGAATTTACTAGTTGTCGAACTTTGGTGAAGCCAAGCTCAATCCTTTAGTAGATCTAGTCCCTCAGTTTTCCCCTTGTTTCCTAAAAATTACTAGAAACCATACTGAATTGTTGTAACTCTTGGTGTCTTTCTTGTACCAAAGAAATTGGCTTCGCTCTTGAGATTGGCTGCAGATACGGTGGTGGATAAATTTGGCATCTTATTTCTTTTGTTCTTGGTTGTTCCTGGTGTCATCATTCCAACTTTGCTGCAATGGAAATCAAAGTTCTTCATAATTTCCTCAAAATCAGTATTCTTCTTCATTGGGTTTCTAGAGTCATTAATATATCGTTGTTAAACACTTGAGCTGACAAAAGAAGTTTGAATGAACCTTACTTAGGATTAAAAGGACTCTTGGAAACATCAGTATGAATCCTTGGCTTATCCCTGCTCTTCATTCTGCTTGAAAAGGTCCTCCTCATGTATGATTTCTGCTCAATATTTCGCGAAGTGGGTATATTAGGCTCTCTAAAATCCAGGTGAGCATATATTATTCTAAATGTTTAGCTTATATCTACTTGTTCTTTCTGGTCCTTTCCTAGAGAATTATTAAATGAGCCTACCTCTATTTCTCGTTTTGAATATTGATACTAAGAGCCTAAGATTTATTAACACAGAGATGGCTTGTTGCAGAACAAATAGGGCTGACATAACTCCACAGCCTAGAGACAGGCATGCCTTGATAACCAGACACAGACTAAGACAAACAATAAAGGTAGAGTGCAGAGAAACATACCGAATCAACACCTAAAAATCCCTTAAGTAAAGCAATATCGAAGATATTACAGAATTTGGCTCAAATTTTACCTTGTTTTTGAAGCATTTACAGTGCTTAATAGTCCTTTCTTCTATAAGTAGAGTTAGAGAATTTAGGAGACGATTATTTTATAGTTATTTAGAATTGACAAGTAATGACTTTTAGAGGAGATTTGAGAGTTTGGAATTTATTTAAACCAATGCAGAAAGCATTTGGAAAATATATTCATGCAAAAGATAAGTATGATTCTATTCCCAAAAATTTGATGCATTTTTCTTTAGCGCCAAATTGTGCTCAGAAATATGACTAAAATTTTCCACCAAATAAAATGTATTACAATCTGCATCTAAAATTTCAAACACGCTCTAAATTTTCTGCCCAATATCTCAAATATCCTTCCTCTTCCGTCTGCTCTCTACACTAACCCCTGACAACTGCAGACAAAGAGTTTATAATTCAATCTTGGCATTTAAAATTTGTATTTGAGTGTTTTCTCCAATCTATTCGCTATATATCTCTGAAAGAGGGTCTTTAGCAATATTTTGCTACGCAAAAGCAAGGTTGCAAAAATACAATCGTAATAATTTATTAATTAACAAAAATGCAATTTTACTTCTTTCGCTTTTTCCATATTTTAATTTTAATTAGCTGTTAATCAACGGAAATAAATTTAAAGGGGTTTTGGGGTTTTGGGGTTTTGGGGTTTTGGGG